AGGAGCAGCAGCATTGGCCAAAGGGTACAAGGTTACAGTTAGATAGGAAGAGTAAGTTTTGTTGCTCTAGGGTGACTATAGCTAATAATTTTGTACTGTATATTTCATGTCAGCCAGAAAAGAGGATATTGAATTTTATAACCACAAAGAAGTGGTAAATGTTTAGGTGATGAATAGGCTAACTATTCTGATTGGGTCACTGTACAATATATGCATGTACTGAAACAAGAAACTGTTCCCCTTAAAAATGTGCAATTAAAATAAATAAATGAATTTACTTTAAAAAGATTTTTAAAAATGATGTGGAAAAATATTGATTTTCTGGTTTTACTCATTTTACATATGAGAATGCTGAGTTTCAGAGTTGTTTAATTATTGCAGTGTTACCCAGAAATCAGTGAATTTGTTGTGTGAAAGCAGTCTGACTCCAGACTCTGCCCCCTTGACAGCTGCACTACCCTATCTTAGTCAGAAGGATGAGTGACATGGGGTTATACTAGGCTCCTGTGGCTTACTCTATAAACAATCCCTATACAAGTTGTCAGAGCACCAGGAAAAGGTAACAAAAGGTAAAATATTACGCCATCCTGCCAGATCTCCCATCAGCATGGTCAGTGTAAAAGTTGGACTAAATCCCTGATCCTCACATTGTCCTGAGTAGTCCAGACATGTGATTCATCAAAAAAAGAAAGTATAAGCTAATAAGGCTTTATACCTAATAGGTTGGTTTTTTGGTGCTATTGTAAATGATACTAATTTTTAATTGTTAAATCCAATCATCTATTGCTAGTATTTATAAATATAATCAATTTTGTATTTTGAATACTGGCTTGAATTCTGTGACCTTGCTAAACTTACTTATTATATCTAGAAGATTTTTTGTATGCTCCATCGTATTTTCATCATTAGACAATTATGCCATTAGTGAATAGACATTATTTTATTTCTTTCTTTCCAACATATGTTCCTTTTATTTATTTTTCTTGCTTTTTGTACTACTTAGAGCATCCAGTATTACATTGAACAGGGATGGTGAGAGTGGATATTGTTGACTTGTTACCAATCTTATGGGGAATACTCAGTCTTTCACTCTTTAATATACTAGAAGTAGATTTTTTTTCTCTTACTTTTTATCAGGTCAAAGAAATTTCCTTCTATTTCTAGTTTAGTGAGAGTTTTATGTTTATCAGGACTATTAAATTTTGTCAAACAGTTTTTCTGCACTTACTAAGAAATGATCAAATGGTATTTCTTCTTATGGTTGTTATGTGGTGAATTAGATTGATATTTTTATTGAAACAATTGCTTATGCATATTTATGGGGTACAGTGTTGACTATCACTATTGGTGTACAATATGCAATGATCAAATCAGTATTTTAGCATTGATATTTTTCATGTTAAACCAGCCTTAAATGCTCAAGATGAATTTTTCTTGGTTATGATGTATTGTTCTTTCTATGCATTGCTGGATTTGACTTGAATGCATTTCCTTGAGGATTTTACATCTATGTTCATGATGGATATTGTTCAATAATTTTTTATAATAACTATTTCTATTTTTGGTATCACGGTCATTCTGGCCTCATAAAATGATCTGGGAAATATGTCCTCCTCTGCTCTGCTCTTAAAGAGTGTAGAATTGATATTACTCCCTCCTTACACGTATAATAGAAATAGCCAATGAAGTCATCTGGGCATGGAGTTTTCTTTGTTGGAAAGTTCTAAATTACAAAATTACTTCTGTAATAAATATAGGACAAATTATGTTGTACATTCTTCATCAGTGATCTTTGGTAATTTGTGCTTTTCACAGAATAAATTGTAAAATTCATGAGTACAGTGTTGATAATAGTGTGCATTCATTATGCTTATAATGTCTACTGAATTCATAGCAATGTCTTCTATTTTATATATGATACTGGCAATGTGTGCCTTCTGTCTTTATTTCTTGGTTAGTTTGTTTAGAGGTTTATCAACATTATTTACATTTTAAAAAAGCAGATTTTGGATCCATTGATTTTTGTATTGTTTTCTTTTTCCGCTCACATTTATTGATTTCTACTCTTTTTATTCTGCTTGCTTTGGGGTTAATTTGCTCTTCTTTTTCAAGTTTTTAAAAAATTCATTTATTTTTAATTGACACATTAATTGTACATATTCATGGTGTACAGTGTGAAGTATTATTTGTAATTGGCAGAACTTCCAAAGTTTTGTAATGTACAATATGTTATTGTTAACCATAGTCATCCCACTCTGCATTAAAACACGAACTATTCCCTCTACCTGTAACTTTGATGTTTGACAAAACAGGAATTGATGTATTAATACTTTCAAAGAAGGATCACATAGTTAACCTCCTCTTAGGCATATAATTACTCAGGAATGACCAATTAAACATTATTGTGTTAGTTTTAGTCAACTTTGCAACTCTAGGAAAACTTCTGATGTTATATACCCCAATTCTTAGAAAGGTTCAAGGGGATTCATCACCCAACAAAGGACTGACTGGATAGCATTGCCACTCACTATTGGTGTGATCTTGGTCAAGCCATACAACTGAGCCTCCCTTTCCTCATCAGTTACATGGGTATAACACACCTGCTTTGCATCAAGGTGATGTGCACTACCTGAGATGCAACAAGTGAGTGCCTGGCACAGAATAGGTGCTCAGGAGATGTTTCTTCTCTGTTCCATCTCTTTTATGGGCAGTTGCTAATCCTTTTTTTTTTTTTTTGCCTAAGAATTTTCCAGCCTCACCTTTAAGGACTCAGGGAGGCTCTTCCTCAAGGATTTCTGTAGCACCTGCAGCAACTGCGGACTCTGCAAGTAGAACATCTTGGCAGGTACCTAAGCCTGAAGAGAGGATCAAGAAACACCAAGGAAGAGCTGGAAGACATATAGACATAATATAAAGTTCTAGTTAATGGCCTGGCTGCCAGCTGTTTCATTGATGCCCTTTTCACTAAACTTCTCACCAAGTTCAAGGAAGAATAATACCAGTGGATAGTGTACAGGCCTCTTTCTGAAATTACTTTTAATATCATTTTTAAACTTTTAAAAATATTTCTGAAATTTCTGCTTTCATTTTTATACCACTCAGAATTCCAATAATTAAGGATGCACTATGATCAATAAATCTATTTTCTAAAATGCATGAAAATCCTATAAGACTAAGTTTCCATTTCCATTGATGACAAGGCTGACCCTGCCACTTAGAAGCTGTATGACATTGGGTAAGTTATTGAACTCCTTAGTGCCTTGGTTTCCTCATCTATAAATGGCAATGACTGTGGTACCTGTCCCATAGAGTGGCTGAGACAACTAAATAAATCAGTACATGGATTAGCCAATATATGGAACTAACCTAAATGTCCATTGATGGATGACCAGATAAGGAAATTGTGGTATGTGTACAGAATGGAATACTCCTCTGCCATAAAAAAGAATGAAATTGTGCCATTTGCAGCAACCTGGATGAGTCTGGAGAAAATATGTTAAGTGAAATAAGCCAGACCCAGAAAGAGAAATACCGCATGTCCTCACTCATAACTGAGTGCTAGGAAGGAAGGAAGGAAGGAAGGAAGGAAGGAAGGAAGGAAGGAAGGAAGGAAGGAAGGAAGGAAGAAAGGAAGGAAGGAAAGAAGGAAGGAAGGCCACAGTAACATGTTGAACTTTCAGGAGAGAACAAACCTAAGGATACTAGAGATGTGGGAGAGTGAGGAAGAGGGGTTGGAGAGTGATAGGTCAGGTAAAGGGCATAAAGAAAAATTACGATTTGTAATAATGAGTAACATGTTGAACTTTCAGGAGAGAACAAACCTAAGGATACTAGAGATGTGGGAGAGTGAGGAAGGGGGGTTGGAGAGTGATAGGTCAGGTAAAGGGCATAAAGAAAAATTACGATTTGTAATAATGAATATACTGATAGTAATTTTTAAAAAGTCCATTGGGTGACTTCTGCTCAACGTGTTGTGTATTGGAAACAAACTAAAAAGGATTCATTGGGAGTAATTCATGTAATCTTGCACACAGTGAGCTGAATTTTAAATCTTTAGCAGAGCACCTGTCTTCAGTAGTACTCAATGTGTGTCAGCCATTTGAATTATTCCTAGCGTTATGCTTGAAGATTATCATTTATTGCTACTATAGATACCCCCAACAAAAAATAAAAGAAAGCTTTTCCTATGAGCCCTTGTATAGGGAACATAAAAATGATGTATTCAATATTCCAAGCTTGATAATGTGTTAGAACAATCTGAAAATTATTATATATCTATTCTTTAACCCTGCCCCTACTGTTTTTTATTTAGAAGGTCTTCAGGGAGCATGAGGTTTAGAAACCTATATTTTAGAAAAGGTGTCCAAATTGTATTATTACAAACAATAATTTGTAATTGTATTGTTCATCCTTTTTGAGGCATAATTTACATATAATAAAATATATCAATTTTAAGTGTATAATTTTATGAGTTTTGATAAATGCATATATTTGTGTAACTAGCAGCATACTAGTGATATAGACCACTATCATAATGTTCATTTGTGGCGCTTTGCAAACAATCCCCTTCTCTGACTCCCAGACTTAAGAAATCACCAATCTGATTTTCGGCCTTACAGTTTTCCTTCAAAACAATGTCACATAAATGGAATTATTTAATATATCTGTTTTTGAGACTTGTTTCTTTCAATCAGTAAATCCAAGTTGTTGTGTATTTCAATAGTCCATTCCATTTTATTGCTGAATAGTATTTCACTGCATGAGTGTATCAGATTTTGCTTAACCATTGACCTGTTGAAGGACATTGGGATTATTTCTAATTTTTGGTGATTATGAATAAAGCTACTAAGAACACTCATGTACAAATCTTTGTATGAACATTCTCTTGGAGTGCATTTTCAGGGTTGTATAGTAAGTATATGTTTAACTTTATGAGAAACTGCCCGTTTTGCACAGTGGCTGCTATTTTACATTCTCATGGTAGTATATGAGCATTCCGTTTCCTCCACGTTATCATCAGCACATCTACAGATGATTTTTCTCATGCAGCCATGTTCAGGAATCACTGAAACAGCAGGCAAAATTATTTACATCATCCTTCATATTAGTGTGAAAAGAAGATTCATAGAGGTAATTTTCAAGTCAGTACAAAAGGTTAAATTAAGGTCAAAATGTATTTCAGTAAATGCAGTTCTCTGAGGTACTGACAGCGTTGAACTTTGCCCAAGTCTTGTGATTCTGGAAAACAACAGTTACAGAAATCGCTCCACCTCTTCGTATTCTGGAAATGACTTCTGCAAAGACCTATCCTTCCCTAACTGACGTCACAAGGACTCACAGGTGTCATCCTTGTTCACCTATGACAAGGTCAAACATAGACCCTCCAAAGTCCCATTCTTTGGCTCATAAATAATTAGCTGAGCTACTAATCTCTGATAAATGAGAAGAAAAAATATTTGTTAACCAAACTTTGGTCAATTTTTTCTCCTTCCCCCAGGCTAAGTCAGCAGACAACCCCTCCTTCACAGCCCTTACCAAGAATATGCTGAACTCAGGTTAAAATATTCTCTGATCTGTCACTCTTTCATCCCACTTTTCCACACTTGGTTCTTCCTTTGCCCTGTTTATTCCAACCTCATAAATGATTAACTAACTGTTCATCCTCCCAGATCACTCAGGGCAAAGTGCTTGTTAGCCAACTTGGCCAAATTTTGGTCATGTTTCTCTCCTCTTCACAGGACTCTGAACATTGATCCCCCAGCTGAGTCAACACTGGCATACAGAAAGATCCTCCTTCCTACAAAGGACAACTCCGTAAACCTTGTTTGCCCCTTTCTACAAAAGCCAGACATTTCCTTTCTGACCTTCCAGATGTTTGTAGACATTATGGTCTCAGAGTTGTCCCTACTGAGATAGTCTCTCCTCCTTATTGAAACACTCTCTTTCCCCCCTCCTGCAATAATCCTTTAACTAATATTTCTCTTTTCATAAGTCTGGAGTTGCTTTTTACTTAAAAAACACTTTGGTACAACTTCATTGTAGGTTAAATTGATTTTTGTGACTAGCCTAAAGATCTGAGCATTGATCCATTCACTCATGTATTCATCTGTTCATCTCTTCAATCATTTATTTATTCATTCATTTAATAAATCCCAACTGAGAACTTACTGTACTGGCTTTGTAAGGGGTAACTTGACCTAGGCTGAACAACATTTCCAGGAATTCCCTTCCCTACACATTTCCAGTTAAGGCAGACCACAAGAGATTTTTATGGGAAACTTGAAGGGCAGAATTGAAGCACCAGGCATTTTTTTGTAGTTCAGTTCTTGACATGAGGCAGTGGCTGGGCTGGCAAGGGCTTCACTGTCCCCAGTTCCACCTTCAGCTTCTCTGTCATCTGGGCCATGTGTATGCTCAGCTCTGTAAAGGAGGAACCTGGTAGGACACCCACACTACCAAGATGAGAGTCAACAAGAGCTCACAAGGTATCAGTCTGTCCCTGTGAACTCCAGTCTGTGCTGTACCCCACTTTAAATCCATTTTCCCTTCCCAACTGCCTTCTTTGTGTATTTCAATCTCCAGCAGCAGATGGGAAGAAACAGCCTTATAGAAACTACTTAACTAATACACACAATTGCATAAGATCAAATCCCTATGACAAATCCCCTACTTCTGCTTCTCTGGATTTTGATTGATGCACTTACTCAGGTCAACTCTGAGCATTTGTGAGCTTAGAATAAACTATAATAGACATGTTTCCTATTATCTAAAAACTCATAATCTAATAAGAGGAATAAAGCATGCACGTAACTAAAAAAATACCACTTACAAAGAACTAAATTATTTTATATATGTGAAAACCAGTGCTGCAGATATCATGACATCTTGTAGCAGCTTTTTCAATGTGGCACATTTTCATGTGGTCCAAAATACCTTCTTATTCCTTTAATTTTTATTACCAAGTGATATTTAAAACTGATTCACTCATCTTATTCCCAATTCTCACCTCTACTTGAACCTTGCCATTGCTAAACCTAAGGGTCTAATGTGCATAATGTATATTACTAAGTAACATGAAGCAGCACTTCTACATTTTGACTAACTGTATCAAATTGGAATTAGCAAATAATTGAATCATAATATGCCAACTAAAAATGGTGGACAAAAAGCTGTGGCAAATGACTATATCAAGCATTTACTTCCTAAGCTCTATGAGATTTCACAATAGGTAGATATTACTTCTAAGTGGAGGCTTTTGGGTTTTTAAAAGAGGTTGCACTAGAACTGGCCATTTAAGAGAGAATGGTGTTAGACGATAGGTTAGTTTCCATGCTCCTGGGAAGCACAAGCTAACCCTTTGTGTTAGGAACTATGGAGAAAGTTCTTGTAATATACAAATGGTGATTCAACTCATACTTGGAATTTGCAAAATCGTGTCTAGGTCAGGAGAAAGTCACCGTTGTCCAAACTCATTTACCTCTCTGCTACTTTTTATTTTCCTAATCATTTATTTAAATGATCCCTGGTCTATTTTTGATGTCCATGAACTTAGCTTATCAATACTAGGGAACGAACTCAGGCTGTCTCTTTCTTTGCTCACTTTGGCTGGCCAACTCTCTGGTCACTGTGTTCAGGGTCTTTTTCTTTTTAGGTTGACCGTTTGGGAACACTGGTCCTTTGGGATAATTGAATAGAATCAGTACTTCCAGAAATAGTACTGGCGTTAGTTCATTTCTGTTGGTTTTAGTTACCAAAGATCTTATTACACTTTTTGATCCTGTTGCTTTAACATACTGCAAAATGCTTAAACTAATGAATGTTTTGGTTTTCACATGAG